GGCAGGTAGAAAGGTGAAGAATGAGACGGGGAGAGACGTGTGAAGGCCTCTAGATCCTCGTCTCATCCTTCCTCACGTAGCCGCGCGTCTCGTTTCTCCTCCTCCTCCGCCACTTCCTTCTCCTCTCCTCCACCCGCGACGGACGAGGATGACTTCGCCGACTCGCTCGTGTATTTTGCGTATTCACCACATAATAGTAATGATAACGACAATAATGACGATAATAATATCGGGAGATTCGGATCAGCGACGTTAACTGGGCCTTCACGCGTTTCGGTGGAAAGGTCCAGCGCGACTAGCGGTTAACATCGCTCACCGGCTATTTTATACAAAACGTGAACGGCTATTAACAATTGAATAAAAAATCGTTATCAAACGCTAACTCATTGCTTTCGCATCACTAATGCTCTGCGGAGTACAATGCGTGCGACAGGTACATTTAAAATACTTTAATAGTCTTCCAAGGTTGGTGAAAACAGAATCACAATCACTTTCACTATTTCGATCATAAATGTTTTCTATCTTTTCGTTAGTTTTCGAAACCATCCTCTAACAAATTATCATTCTCTGACTTACTACTATGCTTGTGCGAGTCTGTCAATGTCACTCAGGAAATCAGAGAAAGTATCGGCATTTAATTGAAAAAAATTTCGCCGTGTTATTTTAAAAGACGATTCTAAAATCGTAATTAAAATCCAAGAAAATGAAAAGCAATAAACAATACTGTAATATAAACGAATATAGTTTTGTTCTTCAATAACTGTACAAGTCCATGCTTGTGCAGACACGAGTATTCGTCAACAATGTATTAGAAATGCCGATCAATAATGTAATTTTAAATTAATCAGCGATGCGTAAAAGGTCAGTTCGCGCACTGTGTGTGAACCAGATACCTCCCGGCGAGAGCCATCGCAATAAATTATGGTTTTCATGGCCTCGCACTTATCTCGGGAGAGCCTTTCCTGGGCTACTTGCGCGAGAGCAACGTCTCGACAATAACCGCGTCGGGTGGCCTTTCTCGAGCGAGCCGATAAATAATTCGCACATACTTCTAATTCATGCGATACATCAAACCGGCACGACCGCACGTGTAACGAGCAGCACTGTCCTGGCACACTGGAGGGAAGAATAAGAGAGAAAGAACATGGGCAATTTTTATTCGTCGGATGAGAGATGGTCCAGACTTCCTTGAGATGGTTTCGAGGACCGACACGCGTCTCGTTCGATCTACTGTGCGTGAGAGAGGGAGAAAGAGAAAAAAGGTGATCGCCCCACATGCCGGAAGCGCGCGAGCGACAATAATTCGTCGCTGTCCAACGATCGCTTGGATGCTAATCGATTGACGTCAGGTGTCTCCGAATGGGGCGTACGAACTCGCTGAGCAAGATCCGCGAGAAACGCGGCCGACGATCATTCGGACGGCCTAAAAACGCTTCCGCGATGAAATTGGCATGCATTATGGATGCTATTACGGAGATCTGACCGTAGGTTTGCGTATAATTTTGCTCATTACGCAATCGAATCGCGATTATTTATATTCGCCGAGGAAGCCAGTTAACGAAACGTTGCACGATGTGATTGCAAGCACGTTAGATTTATCTAGGTGGTTTGACTGGTTCTTTTTACACTTGACTTTGAACATAACGAGTATCGAATCTCTGCTACCGGAATTTCTACGGAAATGTCCAAGGCGGTAACCACTAGCTAAAATGTTGTCCCACCGATTACACGATTTCATTTGATTACGAATAATCTCATCTAATTGCAAATAATTTTCTTATATGCACGTTTAAAACTATGTAACGTTGTTAAACCTCAAAGAGCTACTAGATTTGCGGAAAATATATTTTTCTTATTTCACTAAGAAGTATTTGCTTGTAGAGGTAATTTCAGTTAAGATTGTAGTATTCGGCCACATGTTTCCGTTTATTGTTCCTTTGCGCGCAAAGGTGTATCAACGTTTCAACTCGCTGTTGTGCTAATAGCAACTACTTCAGTCTTATTTTGAAAAGAATACGCGCTTATAGGTGTGAACTACGATATATATTTGGATATTCACTAAAAGAAGTAAATTTTTTTGTAAAATAAAAATAAGAACAAGCTGAGAAAATGCTCAAATTTAATATTTATTGTCTAACAAGTGAAGAAACTTGAAAATTAAGACAAAACGATTACACAAGGATTTCGTAAGGATTTCATAATGATTTCGGAGACGCTGTCCCACGATTACATGAAGTGGTTACCCCCATTGGAAATGTCAGCTAAAACGTACGGATCTCGAGCTTTTAAAACAATTTAAACGTACACGTGCATTTTACGCATGTTTGAATAATTGTATCCGTGTCTCGTGTACCTTCGCAGCGTGTCGCGAGTAAATGAAATTGATTACTGCGTTAGATAATGCTGATAACGTTAAGACAGAGATGGAAGCTGCGTGCTCATCATTGATCGATTTCTCGAAATTATCTGGAAGCCGAAGGTTGAAGGGTTAAAATACATCCGCGTGTGCGCGCTCATCTACTGAATATATTACATGTGCTCATCTATAACTTTGTGATCAAATTCACATGTCGTACACCACGGGCGGTAACAGCACCTGTCTCCCGTGGAATGCGAGGCTAATTGAGCGGAGTGTCTCGACCTGACCTGAGCGTCCAGGGGGAAGAAAAGGGGGGAAAAAAATTCGCCGCGATTTTGTAATATCGTCGCGCTAGCAGTTGCATGAGCGAAGACGGAGGCAATTTGTCAAATCGGCGACTTGCTCGCTATCGTCTACGCGCAATCACGTGAGACGCGGGGCATTATCTGTCTCTCGAACAAGTTACTTCCGAGATTTATGTTATTTACCTTCGGTTGCCAATAAGGACCTCGCGATTGCATTTTGCATCTCGTGCATTTCTCTTTCGTTTAACTCGCGCGTACAACACGTACGTTGATCGCATCGCACAATGCAATTACGAAATCAACAAGAACGGCCCCGATCTCTCTCGCGCCGCCTCGCGATCGCGCGAAAGGGACGGCAAAGGGAGCATCGACTCGGTATTGGCTGAAAAACACAATAATCGCGCCGGCGATTTCGACCCCCACGGCAGAGCCTTGACCGTCGGCGGCGCGGAAAATGAAGTAGTTTTCTTCCCTGACAACGGCGATCGTGCGACTGCCCGGAGCGTTTCGCGGCGGTAACAGCCGCTACCGCTGCAGCCGCAGCGAGAGCAACGGCGGCGGCAGCGGCAGCAGCTTCCTTTCGTCGTGCAGGAGGGATCGAGCAGTGCATTACCCGTTAGACATGGCCCCCGCGCTGATATATTGACTTGGACAAAAAAGCGACGGTTCTTCTGCTCCCTGGCACCGCGGTCGCCGCCACCGCCGCCGCCGCCGCAAAGTCGCTCCTCTCCCCTTCTGTCCTCCTCCGCCTGTTTCTCCTCACGTTGCAACCCCTTCCAAGATGAGTGCCCCTACCCTGTGACCGTCCACGGTCTCGCTTTATCGAGTACCGCGGGAGCGCGGATGCACCGACTCCGATGCACTCTGGCGCGTTCGTCTCGTGATGAACGAGGAGAAGAGATCTAACGTCTAATGGAGTTTTCTGTATGGCACATGTATGCGGGTATAGGCGCGCGCAAAAAATGTGATTCCGCGACGTAGATGATGCCTACGACGGTTCGTTTACTCTCCTCCATTATGCGATTTATTCCTTCCGCTCGCGCCTCCGCGTGCGCGATCGCCTGAGTAATTGCCCGCGCGCGCGTCCTCGAATCTCGTTTCAGAAATGGAGACAAGACGGTATATTTGAGGGCGTTCTCCGATTATCCTGTGTAGATTCGATTGTTCGGACGCGAGAATTTCGCGCGACTACACTTTGCGTCCATATGGATTTAACGACCCAAGAATATACGAGGCATATTCGGAAATTAAGGTTACAACATTCTACAAAAATGGAAAAATGCATATTTATTATTGAAACTTGTACGACATGTTACACAAGTGTACCACTATTTTTCCACGTAATCGTCATTTAGTTCCAAGCATTTGGTGAACCGGGGTATCAACTTTTGTATTCCTTTGTCACACGTTCCTGCCGCCATCTCTATTCATCATGAATGTTTATTCGGCCGTCTTTAAATTCCCTGTACCACTTCGTCACTTTATCACGGGACATGACGTTGTTGTAAACGGAAACAATTTCGCGGTAGATGTTGGCGAGCTTTTCATTTTTAGCGATAGCGAGATGACGGTTCGCACTTCACACTTGGCGGGATCGGGAATTGCAGGGTTTCATGTCACGACATGTTTCTACTTTTATTTATATATAATTATATGTATATTTTATTTCTGTGGGGGTAGTTATACTATGGTATTATATTGCGTACTGTGTCAACAACCCTTTCTTCGACATTGTCGTCATTGCTGAAGCAATGTTGAAGAGTCGTCAGGTTAAGAAAATAATACATGTGTTGCCTCGGATACGATTATTTTGGAGTCATCGTCTTTCGTTGGGTAATATAACGATCAGCGGAATTGCCATTCTACATCCTCGCTACATTATCCCATCGCGGCGTGCAGAAAATCGCGTTCGCCGTCTCTCGTTACGGCCGGCTGAAAAATCGGGAAATCGTTCCGATCGGCAATAAATCGCGTCCAAGCAGCTGCCGACGATCATTTTCTGAGGGAACACGGGAGGCGAGCAGGGAAAAACAAAGTCGCGAAGGCAACGCGGAAGGAGGCCGCCGATCTGCCGGTCGGGGGCGGGCGGGCGGGCGGTCGGGACGGGCGGCGGGGAGGGTATGTAGGGGAGCAAGAAATATAATCGCGCGCACGGCGAAGCACGGCGGCAGCGGTAGACCACTGGCATGGGGGACGAGGAACCTATTATAGCAGCAGCGAGAGTAAAAGAGTCCGGACAGGTGAGATAATCAACCTGCGGCCATAGCTCCGAGCGGTCTCGTAGTAATCACTATTCGCGCGCGCGGTGTGTCTTTTAATGCTCCTGCGCAACTTGCCATCGTTGCTGCCGCTGCTGCCGCGTATATCGCCGTCGTTGCTACCACCGTCGCTTCGACGAGAGTACGTTATCCCTGTAGCAGCATTCTGCGTCTTCCGAACGGACCACCGCAACGCGTCTCGCACGTTGTGGTTTTCGGTCGCGTGGAATACGGAGTCGACTTCGTCGCGCCGTGAGTTGATTTCGTAAAATTCCATTTGTTTAGCACGGGTACGTTGACGCTGGTCAAGAGGAAATTGAGTGAAAGAGAGGATAATTCTGGAGCGTGAAGAGTTTTCGAAACATTTTTGAACGTTGTCACATTATTGCAGCAATCACTATTTTAAAAGAACGCCAGTAAAAGAAAGGGGATATTTGGGAGAATATTACAAGACAAAGTAAAAACATATATGTACTTCTTTAAAAGCATATATAGGCTAGATAACTGTAAGGATAATGAATAAATGGAGAGGGAAAGTGGGGAAAAGGTACCCGCCGTCATTTGCCGCCAATCGATTTCCGATACTTCGCGCATCCAGTCTGAAAAACAACGGCGTGTAACCCACTGACATTACGGGAAACTCCGCTGCCATTATAATCGCGGCGAGGCGATCAAGCCCGCAACCGAGTCTTTTTTTTTCCATTACCGCATTAGCGGCGAGGACAATGGTCGCCGGGTTTTCTCACGTATTTCCACACGACGGGTCATTATTTCTTTCCGAGGCGCACTTTATCCACTTGTGATATATGACCGGGCTTCGGCTTGCCTCTTCACGAGAGCGCGAGAGTCGCGAGAGGACGCGAGAGATCGGACCCTCCGTCATCGGTGACATCGCCGACGTCGTCGTCGAGAACGCGCCCCACCAACCCCCGTGCACCCAATATTTTATTACTGTGGCGCGCGCAGGCAACGATGCCCACCGTGGGGCCAGCGTGTATTGTGCGAGCGCGGTGTGGTCCGCTCGATGTCTGATTTACCGCTCGTCTAATTTGTAGGCGGCCGCCATTAAGCAATCCATAAATGCACATGTGTAAAACACTCCGCGGAGCCGGACGAGCGGGCGGATATGCACGAGTCGCCGCCGCCGCCGCCGCCGCCGCGCCGTTGCGCCGGGGACGAACAAACGGATGGACGGACGGACGGACATACGGATGAGCGAATGGACGGACGAACGGGCCCGAGCGAACCGACTGCGCACGATTTATTCATATTCAAATGCGCGCTCTTTACGATCGCGCGAACGAAAGCGAGAACGCGTTTGCGCATCTCGGTTTGGAGTTTACAGCGCGGGGTTAAGGCGCGGCGTGCTTCGCCGTTGATTTGTTCGTTATGCCGCGTAGACGATTGTTCCTTTTGCATACACGGCGTTTCTAGGCTTCGCACAGCGCGGAGTCTCACATTTGTCGGCGTTTCTATTAACGAGCGACGCGATTCAAACGCGTTGGAAAGATTCTATTCTGACACGTGGAAAATAATGCGTCAGTTTGTACACTTTGTATCGCGCGCCTCAGTGCTGATGTTTCATTAGAATTGAACGATATGTAGAACACATTTTTCGTGTACATTTTAGAACGTAATTACTTTGTTGTAATTATCTCTAGTTGATTGTGCTTGCTCGTAATTTCATCAACATTAAACGTTGCCGCATCGATGACCGGTAAACAGTGATAAATTTGACGGACGTTTTACAACGTATCGATTTATTATCGATTGTTTTGATAATGCCTTCAATAATCATTAACGATTCATTAAACTTTAACGAGCTAATAGCCGTTTCTCGCGATGCAGGTCAATGGCACAATCGATATGAATCATTTCTTGAATCATTCAATTTATCGGCTTAATCAATTCATTATTAATTGATTTGATACTATACTCGCTAATCGTTAACGGCTCGTTAATCTTAAACGACCCAACGTTCGCATCTTGTCAGCCGAGTCGAATATAAATTTCTTCTTGCTCTTCGTCCCGCAGTTTATTCGATCATCTATTATGATTACTTAATTTAATGTAATGAAAGTACTTAAATTTAATGAATGTTGGAACGTTCTGAGATGATCGCGTGTAGATATCTATTACAAACGGTAGACTAGTTGGAGTACTTTTATTATCGATCCATGTTAGCCTTACGAATGTATCGAATAGTCCGCTTTAATGGCCTGACACGCGAAAAGAACAAAGCGATAGCGGGAAGCATTCCCGTAGCGGCTTCCGCGTCGAGCGGCACCGCTCGCTCGGGCGTTAAAGTCTCCTCGCGGTTGAACCGGCGACCTCAACGCACTCGAGACAATACCGGACGCCGTTTCCCGCTCGGGTTCTCTTCGCTCTCTGGGCCTCCCCTCTCCCTCGCGTCGTGCCTTCGTATATGCCAGTTCCATTCATCGCGGAATTCCAGTCGGCGATTGCGACCGCCATCGATGGTTTTCCGGAGTAGGTACGTGCCTACGTTGCCGGTCGCAGTTACACCGGACGCTACCTGCGCCGAGAATGGCCCATAAACACCATTACGGCTAGCGGGGGCAACTTATAGCGCACTTTACCGGACTTATGACGCGGCCACGCTTGAATTAGGTACTCGTTACTAGTATTACGTTTCAACCACCTCGTTCAGGTGCGCGGTCTCGTCGCTGAACACGCCGACGCGTTAATGCAACCCCTTTGCGCGAAAATCTTACGTGTTACTACCCGGAGGGAGGGTCGTTGTTGGATAACAGCTGATTATCACAGAACATTTGACGTATATCGAAATTTGAATAATAACTCGTGTATCATTTCTATCTTAAGCCAACGGCACACGATACTAATTTTCCTCCTGGATTGGCTTGAGAGCCAATAAGGATGCAGAGTTTTAGATCGGATGACTAAATTCTGATTGGCTCGCGTAAGCAATCCAGTAGGAAAAATAATATCGTGTGCCGTTGGCTTTATATGCTCTTGGATCTTGTCGAAAGTAAGATACAGACTTAGAAAGTCTGCAGATTAATAAATCCAATCGTACACGTATAATAAAAATCATTTATTGTGTGTAAATTATACATGTACATTCTTCACCGAGGAGACCGAAGACAGGTTTAAATAATCATCGGTATAATTCAAAGTTAATTATTATATCGATAACTTGATACACGTGCTCGCGCGCTGTGGAAGGAAGTTCAGATATTATCGTGGAACAGCCCGTGACCTCGTGGCACTTTAAGGAATCGATGTAGCGAGGCAGGAATTGCACGGCAAGACTGAGACGAGCGAGGCGCTTATGGGCAACGCGATGGCCCGATAATTTTAATGGCATTCTCAATTAATTACGGACAAGCAGAGCGACGGGGTCACGGAACACGTCGACCTCGTATCCGAGGATACGCATGGAAATTGGGATGACGAAACGGCTCGCAACATAATGATCTCCGATGATCCGCTCGTGCCCGTTAAAATACGCGATGATCGGCGAGGATATTCCATTTATTCCGTTTCTTCTCTTTCTCTCGGCATCTTTCTTTTCACGCTCCGTCTCGATACGTCCAGGTCGCCTTTCAGGTTGCTCAACGTCGATAAATCGGCCACGTGCTCTCTTCTCTAATAACATCTACCGCGCGCGTATGCTCGCGCCTTCCGTTCGATCTTGCAATTAAATGCAACTGCCTTCGCCGCGCCAGAACGCGCGTCGCTTCTCTCACACCACCCTTTCGCTCTCGAATTGCAAGTCCTCCGTCGCGTCCGCAGAAGAGCTTCGAACTTCTCTCTGTGTAAATGCCGCCGTCGCCATCAGTGGGACCGCTTATGCGACTAGACGAGACGACTTAAGTCTTATAGCTCCACCGAGAGTGGCTCGATACCGTGGACTAGTCGCAAGCCCGGCGGACGATCTGCAACGCGTAACGCGACGTGGCTTATTGCCAATGCATTTTAAGTAGTCTACTATACGGTACCTCTTTCTCTCTCTCTCTCTTTCTTTCTCCGTCGTTTCCCGAGAGCGCATTGTGCACTTGTGTACCTGCCGCGACATTGCATCGGACGTGTTTTATCTTCGCTTACAGCGAACGCGTATACGCGTGCGTGCTCGCACGAAGGAGCGTGTACGTGTGCACGCCGAGCGTCGCTGAGCGGTCGCGAGGCCACTACTGCGGTTTGCGCAAGGGAAGCAGAACCTCCGAACCCGTTCCAGCCGTTGTATCGCGATTCACGAGCGATCGTGAAGTCGCCGACGAGACCTACGAAAGTACAGTGAACGGAACACGGAGGAAAAGCACGAGGCAGCGCTGACGATGTGTAAATCGCCTCGTTGATTGAGTCATTTCGTGGACGATCATTCTCGGGTATCGCGCGGCGAATCTCTGACTTTAAGAACGTATTGTATGGTAACCAATGTAATGTAGAATAACTGTATCACGTACCTGTGCCTTTTTGGCGACGCTTGTTTTCCTCACAGAAATAATTCAATGACCTCTATCTGCGGAGTATTACTTACGTTTTGATATTCCTAAGAAACAATCGAGGGTGGCTGTAACTTTAATTGAATGCACCGTTGCATACATTATCATAACACTAATTCTTGTAAAAAAACCCCGGTCAGGGAAAAATTAATTCCGGCTCCTGGAAAACCTGAAAGAGTCAGGGAATTTTTTTCATTGAGTTTACTGGACACCCCGAATGTGTGTGTGTTCCACTGAACTTGCACTATTATTGTACTAGTGCAGTTTTTATAGAAACCTAGCACAGCGCTGGTGCTGCACCAGTTTTCCCCGTGGAAAACGCTACAAGTGCACACAGACGTTTCAGTCCCGAAATGGGCCATCTTCATTGTGTGAAATTCTCTTGGTTTCTTTTCATTTGATTTAGTAGCAACCACTTACTCCGCTATTTATTCTTTGTCTGAGAAATGTGTAGATATTTGACATGACGCACAAAGGGAACGAGAGTTTGATTAAGAACGTTCTCTCTCACTTTTTCCCTTTCCAAGGTACACATACATCCCATAGCTACCTATATCTAAGAATTGATACTGTGGTAAGGCTTCTAATACGTGACGCAACGAGACCGTTCTCCGAGCAGTGAGCGCGTTTTATTCACGTCGCCATAGGAATCCGCGCTACCGGGGGGTCGTGAGCTCATATTTCTCGAGCATTATGTCTCGACAACGTGTACGCGCTCTCGTGTGTCGGGCGTAAGTGGGTAAATACCTCGACTACCGGGCAGCGTGGTAAGGCAAGGAGGATCGCGAGG